GCCAAAAAATTACCGATAAAACATCCGATTTCGCCAATTAAAGGCTGATTCTTAGCCGGATTTATGCAAGTGTTTTGAAATCCGTGTTTTTCGTTGTTCTCTTTTTTGCATGATGAAATTTACAAAAAGGCGTTCATTATGTTCCCTGTGCGGAAAATAATACCAGAGTGCTGCCGATTATTTTTGGGGAGCAGGCAGGTCAATACTAGGGGGTACGAATGGTGTTAGCGGTTTCGCGACGGATGAGAGAGCCTTGACGACGGCCTTTGTCCTGAGCAACCTGTCACAGTGGGGAAAAACAATATTTAGAAAAAGAAAAACAACTGTTGTTGGAGGATTACCGAATTACCCTGAGGGAACTCGTAGAAAGCTGGACACCTCACACGAGTCATACCGCATCATTTTGAAAAAAGGTTTGGAGGCGAGAAAACTCATGGCAAAGACTGTGTAGAAGACCTCGCAATTTATGTAAGTGAATAAGTGTCTCAGGAGAGTCTCAAATCATTCAAAGAGGAATCATCGGATTTGTTTCAGTACGTCATTACGGATGACGCAATGCGGGTATACAAGTACGTTGTGGAGATAAAAGCTATACGACCAGCCCGAACGGTTCTACTGTTACCAAGCGCTGTTACCAACAAGTTTTAAAAGAACTTTAGAAAAACAAACTGTAGGTTCATTATTATGACAATTGGCCGGTTGATACCCCATCACTAGTAATGCGTGCTTTTTCTTCTCGCAGAAATACTCGATTGCGAGTGTATTTCTTGGGCTACCTTCTTTCAGACATTAAAAAAATCTGAAGGGAATGTGGGTTATGAAAAAAAACAAAAGCAGGGTTAGGATTAACTAACAGGGTTGGATTCGAAAACGATTTTCTCGACTGGGAAAGGCAGTGATCAGATTCCACGAGGATTACTGAAGATACAGGACTCTTTCGAAAACATAGCTTACTAACGTTAATATAATATATTACAATGTGTAATGAACAAAAGACGTATCACCGTTTTAAATGCTTAATTCTATCTGCAACGGATCCCTCAAATATTCTATGTTGAGGATTTGTTGCCACGTGAGGTGGCGAGCGCTCGATCGAAATTTCCTGGGGTAGCTCACTAGAGGGCAACGGACAATCCAGATGCGCATCTGAGCGTTCGGCTAGCGTTTTTCTGATCAGCTTTCGTTAGTTTTGAGTAATATGGTGTCTAATTCGACGCCGGAGGAGACTCACTCATACGTATCCCCCCGCTTTTATTAAACGTGAATAGAATATGGTGTTGCGATGATTAGATGCGTTTTCAATTCAATTCAACGAGAAACGCATATCCAAGGCCGCCGAGTTTATGACGAATGCCTTGCCGTAGCTCAGCTGCGACAAGCGCCACGAGTTACAAACATATCTAACCGCAGACCCGTGAGAGCCAGCGTCTGTAGGTTGCATAAACGTTTCATCTTGATTTCAATATAAAATGTATATTATGAAAGGAAAATATTTTTATCGTTATGTGTTTTATGTGGGTACGCTTGACTCTGTCGGACCGATCTAACATCTTAAACTGCAAGCTATGATAGACAGAGGTCTCATTGAAAAATCACAATGAAATGAGTGATATTCTCACTGAAAAAAAGGTAACAAAGCTGGGACCTATTCGTACGATCGAGTTTGAAATCGTTTCCAAAGACCGAGAACAGCGAAAAAAGCACACCCGAATTGAGCGCTAGAGAAATATTAAGGCAACGATATCCACTCAAAGCAGTAGCTTATAAGTGTGATCACGATCAACTATGCTACGTAATAAACAAGCGGCCGATGAACTCCATTTAATGAATCGGATATTAGGAGCTGATCACGTTTATAGTTTCAGGATGAATTGAATAAGGGGGCCGTGTTCTGCTGCAAGGCACGTTTGTTGCCTGTTTCCGATCTAGGACAATCAACTCCCAGTAAATAGATTAGTTTTGTTCAAATCTGTGTAAACAACTGAAAGTAACGGTAACGCAAAATGATTATCGAATCACGTCAAAATACTGTGTCGTCTATCTAAGGTTTCAAGCCTCACCAACCGCAGCTGTTGCACACTGAAATCAATCGTTTCTCACATTATAACAGATCAGATTGTATAAATACTAGTTAAAGACCCATCGCTTCGGCAATTATATAGACTTATGACAAAGGATCTCGATGACGTTTGGCAACGCTACAGTACTATCAAACGCAACACATTAACTTACATTCAGTTTGAGGAACTTCAGGAACATAACTTTTTCATATTATGCGATAGACAGAGAGACTCCGGCTGGGCTTGGGCCATAGTTAAAATGGTTAACGAGAGAATGTTATTCCTAAACATTTTTCTACATCCAGATTATCGCTCAGGTAAAGCGCGTAGGGGCATGGTTTATTCTAGTTGTCGCCGTATCACTTAAATATCAATAGGTTCCGTTCATTGTCAAAGAGACAAGGTTTGTTTCTTCGCCGAACCTTGACATCGAAAAGTGACCTCGGAGTGGCGATGCGCTACATAGTTTATTCCACATAAATCTGCTGTTGCTGGCGCTAGGCGGAAGTTTAAGTTGTTAATTTTGCCAAGTTCTCTTACATTTCTCGCATCATCAGACTCGAACGTGGTTTGTAGTAGTACGCCACCGAATGCACTTCCCTTGACACTACATTCAACCAGATTTATTCAACAGGTGTCGACGCAGCAACAGTTACCCGGGTAAATAAGAAAAAATCTACTGGGCAGCGGCGTCCATTAGGATGTATATAGCCCCACAGCACTCGTTCTAGGGTAGCCTTTTTGGACCTTGAATTTACGGTACGTACGCTTCTGCTACAACTCGGTTTTCGACATTTTCTTCTGTCTAAGGAGCAATAAGGGGACAGAACATGAAGAACGGAACTCACGAAGGGGATGATCAAGCCCAAAACACACAGGACGCAGCGGCCTCTGCAGCCGTCAATTCCGAAATGAAATTAGTCATAATTTGGGCACAACGCCCACAACAGCAACAACAACAACTGTGAAACCCGCATTGTTAAGTAATGCAAGTAAATTAAGGCAAACGGCACCGCTAACGTGGCTGCCGTTTTCAGGTGGAGGGATTAAGTGCGACGGGATATTGACACATGAATAATTAAAAATCGAATATTCTAACAACCAGGGTACGTTTCCATCCGCACTCATCGCATTAGGTTCAAATTCGACCGATCGCCATTTGTATTCAGACTTGCTAGATAAGAATGTACATTATGCATTTATTCGGCTATCAGAAATCAGCCTTCCACGTTCCAACGACACAAACCTTCAAACAGTCGTGTGTTGTCCTTGAACCTAGGCGTACTAGATACTTTTGTTGAAACTGATAAGAAGCTTTTAATACGATCATTCCACGAAGATAAATCTCGTTCTTGTAGCAATTTATCGCAGCGAGAGGTAAAATCAACCGAGGAACTGCTCAAAGGCAAAGGATAACCTTAAACAAAGGGAGTACTGAAGACATAGCGCCGGCTGTTTCATATAAGCTATAATTTGAATTGGTGGATTTAGCGCATCACACTTCGAGATCAAAGTTCGAGATAGTCCGAAACCATGTCTTCCTCGATATGCTTACGCTGAGTCAACGAAGATATCGATAATAACTGGGACTAGTTAGTGCAAATCATAGTCGGTTGTGTCACCCATGTTAGCTCACTGAACTGTGCTAAATTATACATATTAGGCAGTCTGGTATAAAGCCTAGTTCTCTCTCTCTATATTTATATTTGTGTGTGTGTCCAATGTCAAGCTACATGGCAGCAGGCACGCCAATGTCTTGTCACCTCTACAAATGTTTCGCCTAACAAGAGGATAAAGATTTTCTTCCGAATTGCGCCTGCCTCAAAGCCTGTAACTCGACATACTGGCCTTCAAAAGTAGCTTTCTCGTGTCCTTGAAACTATAAGGTTATTTGCTAGCCATACAAATGATCTCCAAAAAATCCTTTCAGTCTTGTGCTCCAGTAACGCGCCAAAGAACAGAATGATCCGTCTACCTAGTTGCAAAGCTTTTTACTGCAAATAGTTACACACATTTGTTTCTTTTAACTAATTTCTCATTTATTTAATGTAGCAAACTCGTATGGGCAGTGTTCTTAGTGTATGGCCTAGCTAAAAAAAAAATCACTAATAGTATAGGAAGCTCCATTTATAAGCTTGTCACTTGTAGGTAGAAAACTTAATTCTATATGTGGGCCATTTTCGATATTTGGTGAAACCAATCAAGCCCTACCTTGAACCGTTAAAAAAAGTGATCTAATCTAGCTAGCCACAGGACGACTAGATAAAAGCGCACATCTAAATGAAATTCAAGCTGGACTCAAGCCTTCGTTCCTTTACACCAAACATATCATCGCCATTTTTATTACCGTCTACTCTATTAAACAGACTAGCAATGAAAACGAGCTCAGTTTAATTTCTCCAAAAGTACTCTTTATCATTTTTATTCATAAGTAGGTCGGTTTTTTTTTTTTAATGTAATCATTTTTGTTACTCCATCTGGTCGTCGTTCCATCGTTTTAGCTGTGGACATCATCAGCTCCATACTGTTTACCCTCATTGCTTTTTTTTCTCAGTTATCTTATCATACGTTCACACTTAGCATTTCATTCACTCTTCGTGTCTGGCCAATATCAGACGCCCAAGCGGCCTGCATCACCTTTCCATCGTTATTATTTTACTAGCAATAATACTCACCCGTTTAGTCGACAGTGCTTACCAATACTATAACAATTAGTAGCAATTATATAGATTCACTGGTATATGCTGTCATAATAGTAATCCATATGGAACGATGCATCTAGTGATCTCTTTGTCTGATGATCCTGTTGCGTTTTCTTCATGGGATGCGTTCTACAATCTTCACTTCTGCTAGTTTCGCCGTTTGTGTGAGAGGTTTTTGTTTCATGTTGTTGGACGCGCAAATTCATAGGTGTCTTACTCTGTAGCTCTATCGGTTGAGTTATTATTACCATCGATTATTGGTATCAGTGAATATAGGCTGTTCCATTATTGTTCAGTTTAGTAGGGCGGGACGACGAATGTTCTTAGTAAATCTGTTTTTACCAAATGGCAAAACCCTCCGGCTGAATTACAATGTGAGGGGTAGCTGGCTAACGTTGTGCGGCAACGGTTCAGTAGAAATGACATTATTAGCACATACTAAATATTTCAATTTGGATTGAAATGCCCAACATGATCTATCACTCGTTGCCATCGCTCTCGTCACGTAAAACGTGTTGCTTGTTTTCACAATAGCTAGTGTACGCAGACTATGGGTGGGAAGGTAAACTCAAAAATCTGTTATACGTTATATAGCACCTAGTCCCGACAATGTTTAGTCTCGCGGTAGTCCTTTTCTTCGTTCTGCTATTTGCTAGCCATTGTTAAACAAAAAACATTTAGGCTTACCACAGTAACGATATATTTGAATAAAGGAACGGCAACTTCACTATACGGTGCTTCTTAGACCAGTACAGAGTGAAGGGCGTATTGGAGCTCGCTCTTATCAATCGCCTTCAGACGGGCCTCATGCGACCGCTAAACGTAAAGGAAAACAGTCGTTATCATCCTACATTTAGCATATGCCAATGCCGACAGCCGATACGAATATGTGCGTGTGCAATTTACCGTGCCGGGCGATGTCTTGGAAACCTCTATGCCCCCGAAAGACTATGCCCCCTCTCGTGGTTGTGCAGCTCTGCAATCTGAACAGTGGTCGCTGTGAATACCTGCATCCGCCGAGAGCTGTGATGATGGTAATTTGATTGGCAAAAGGGAAAAACGAAAAACACGAAGAAAACTGGTTTGAAAAGAGTCGTAAAAGCAACAAAAAGACGAATTTAAAACGAGAGAAAGGCCTAGGGAAAGTCTTCGTGTGCGCTCGGGCCCCTTTGTCATGTGTGATGATCTTCTGAGTATCGCTGGCGGGCGCCGTATTCGCTTGAGACGTATATAGCGTCCAGGAGCAGTTTTTCTATGTGGCTAAATAGTTCGGTCGTTGCGCTTGATGTTTGTTTTGCCCATCTTTTTCGTATTGTACGCGGGTCATGAAAATATCGCTGAGTACATACTAGCACGGACGCAACATACGGTGGAGGCATCAAGCTATGTTTGCTGAATGCGCGCGGAAGTACCCAGGGTTGAGCTGATTAGGATGAACGTTTCTGAGACAGTAAAGTATGGCCCTACTAATGCTAAACAAAACAAAAAGCAGAAATACAAGGCTTCACCATCCTTCGTGCATACACTGTTCGCCAAAAAAACATGATTCTATATTGACCATTGTTCTAGCAGTCTTACACAGCTGACAATGAACGGACCAAGCCATTGAGCGGTCTGAATTTCTTCGCCGCATATATTCACTGTCTTCGGTGGTCACACAGTGATTGAAAGGCTGCCTGTGTGTGTCAAAATAGTCCGCTACGAAAATTGGTCGAATTACCATTCTTTCAAGTTGTCTCTTTTTCCATTACCCCTTATCTTTTAAATGATTCAATGGTGATGAACATGTTTTTATAGGCATTTTGTAATGCTTGTAGTTTTCCTTCATTATGGACTCCCATCTTGCTCGATTTTTCGTCTTCTGGTTTGCCACTGGTTATATCCTGACTAGTGTAGTTTATGCGATATTCTATCAATTTCCGAGATCAACCGAAGTTACGACAAACCAGTCTTATTGGCATATGTGAGATGATAAATATGTCCCACGCATTAAGGCCCACTTGTTGTGCGCCCATACTTACGTGTTTCGGTCCGTAGTGTTTCTATCGTTTATGATCCTTACCCCTGTCATGCAATCTATCCCCAGACAGAATGAGATCATCTCATTGTTCCAAATCGGAGACTCCGACCGATAATATCGCAAAATCTGCCGTATATTCACTTTAAGGATGAAATAAATAATCGCTGGCTCTTATATCCCCGCCACCCCGGCATCAAGTAAATACGCTTACATGCACATAGGCAGACATTCACTCACATCCAATTCCATCGCGCCCTATGCATTCAGTCAGTTTTCCTATGAACGCACGACGCGCCACTGACAATCCAATGTGTCAATTTTCATCAGAACTAGATCTTGACGATGAAGTTATGTTTTTAATGGTGGTGGGACCCGGTAAATGCTTTTAGAGAAATAGACAATCCAGCCGTGAATAATCATAGATAGTTAAGAACAGAGATTTCTCAACAGTAGCTTGTATGATTAGTGTCTTCAATGAGAAACAATGTTTTTGCGCACACGATTACACATGGTACAATCAGCTAGTCTGAACAATAGCCTAAGTTCGGAATATTGTGTGTGAGGACCACGAGGTCACGCAAAAGAAACAGCGGGTCGAATTTGCAAAATAGATAAAGAAAGTCGATATTTTCAAAGTCTAGCCCTGTCGAGTTGGGGCTCATCGCACCCATTCGTGTGGAAAGCAGTGGCGTGTCCTGCGTCGAGTTCGTTACCTACAGCTATAGACATATCACCTCGGTCAACCCTGTTCTTTCAGAGTGTCGAGTCTACAAAGTCATTTCGACATTTTTTTTTCTGATAGTTGCACGCAATGGATTCTTTTATCATTGTTGACAAAGTTGTTGTCACGGTTGCTGCTATTGTCGTTACTTTGGTCTCATAACTTAAACGCAATACAATGCTTACATTTTTTTACATAAAGTTTAAATAACCCAGCTCTTCCTAGTTCGTTACAGGACTCAACCGCTGTTTGTAGGTACTCTGCTCATCTGCCTATATTAGCAATACAAAGAAATAATGTTAAGATTGCCGCGTTAAGATACAAAACATCTCGAACACTTAGATTAGTATTTGGCTAAGGTGCGTGTTATCTGTGCTGATGTATGTGGCTTCTGTGACTGCTGTTGAAAACACGAACAACTTCACGTCGACTAACTGATACAGGGGAAAATCATTTCATGGTAATGAGTACGCAGACTATGTGTGCATGCATGGCTCCTGCGATGCCATGAAGAACGCTAGGTATGAAATCCATTACGCGAAGATACGGTTAATGATGGCTGGTTTTTGGTCATTCATAATTTCTAAGGATCTGGCCCGCGATGATCGTGGCCAATTGTACATCGGTTTCTCTACCTGCGCAACAGAAGCACAAGCAGAACTTCCCCGTATGATTTTACAAATGATTTATTTTCCCCTACTTGGTTGGTAGACAATTTTGAACTGGGCCCGCTTTTGTATAGCCAAACAACTCACCATCGTGCTTAATATTGTTTGCCTGCATGTTCAACACTGGCCAATAATACCTCGCTTTGTTACTTCGGCTGTTTCTGCATTTAACATACCACAATGCTCTCCCATTCGTTTTCGATCTGGTCTCCATTCACGAGCTTCCGACTTCTGTCAAAATCTTACACGAACGTGTATGCACTCATGTCTTCATGTCCACGCCCAGCTTCATCCAACCGGTATTAATACAGTAACAAAACGAAGCAACTGCTTCAGCAAGGTAAACTATAGAAGAGTTCGAAGTTCTTCCATTCATTCTAAAATGTTCCTCTAAATCTGTCAAAGGATTTGCCCTATTCCCTTACTCGGTTCAAGCCAAAGACTGTCGGAAGTTACGCGTCTGTTCTACCGGACTACACGCATTTTTATCTACGTCTCGGCCGAACTTTGCCACCTTATAGTGTGATCTCTTTACAACTACTGTGTGGCACCTTTTGACTTTTTCGTACCACCGGGCTGAAATCTTTTTCACCCTCCCTCGCCCCATCTATTTTACATATATATATATATATATATATATGACGGTTTGTCTATCTGTGTCGATACATTAGGTTTCTTTCGGTTAGTATCTGTCTAGGCTAGAGTTGTTGTTGCTCATATTTCTCCATTACTATGTACACATACAAGGAGTCACTGTACAGGTGCGCTCATAAGGAGTCCGAGCGGAGCGAATACATTTTAAAGTTCGATATGGTCGGCAGCATGACGGTGACTGCCGCCGCACGCGGATCTTATATTTTTACTCGTTTGTGCTCAATTTCAGCACGCAAATAGACCTAAGTAGTTGGCTTTATCGAGCCTGACCCAACATGGGCTGCTTTTTCTTGCTTTGGTCAATTCTTCCTTTATCTATACGTTCGAATCTGGTGAACAACCTTATTCGCGCATTTAGGCTTTTTAGAAGAGGCTGCACGTGTTTGTTTCAGTGTTGCGATGGTGATAAGTTGCCGCGGCGTCGTCAAGTTCCCTGGGATAGTCTCACGACAGGCAGCGTAGAAGCAGCAGTAGAATCCAGGGTAACGTCACAAGATTCCAGCTCGACATCGAGCGGAGCGCCCCTGTAACGAGAGAATATCTTGTAAAAAAAACTGACATGGAAAAAGAATAGGAAAATTATGTTTGAGATTTAATCCCACAACTAGTTTTTTCATCCAACTCCGCACGTCGATGAACGAGCGACGGTTAGTAATACAACAACAATTGAGCTTAATAATCATAAGAGTAACGCGATGTGATTTTTACCGAATGCTAGCCTGTTGGTCTTTGAATTTTGCAAACCTTTATAATACCAAATAGTAAACCTGCCAGCATTAGCACGAAAAAATTTTGCGACACAAATATCTAGACTCAGTCACAGGTTTTTCACGGATTTTAATACTGTTAATATAACATATAGACACATATTATGTTACGAATTTCGCTGAAACGGGATATATATCAAAAAAACTTGTTTTTGTCAAATTTAACTAGAAATGATCTTTGCATTTTTCTGGAATACGAAGTTTCTATTATGTCACACATACGAAACGCAGATCCACCGCACAAGGTGGTAATGATACATACATGTACGACCGCCTGTCGTCCAAATAGACCTTTTCCGCAAGCTAGATATGCCATGAGAATGATGTTTAGCTGAAGGAATATTGTTTCAGGATTCTGTATCCCTCCAGGGATTTCGAGTTCAAAAGGCCATTGTCTCTAATACCCAAACCGCGTCCGGCTCTGTCCCAGCAGTTGTATCCAGTGATCCCTTAACATCCCCGGTTCCATCGGCGTGTATGGTCCACCAATTTGATCGATTGTGTATAGGACGAAAACAAAATAATGCTAGATTATGAGCAAATATCATACGTTGCCCCAAATTGAACGGGCAACGCCATTGAGGAAACGTGAAGTTAACGTCAAGGACAATGTTGAAGGAAGCGAACGCAAATGCAAGCAGACACGTTAAAGCTTACTGCACGCATTTTTCGTGAGCCTGTTAACAAGAAGGTCCGCTCTGAGTGCCTTGGAACCTATGAGAAGGACGTAAACTCTTCCAATCTAAAGGGGGTAGAAGAAAAGGACAAGCGAAGCATTTCAGGGCTATCCCTATCGTACCGTAGCTGCTGCGACCGAACAAGTTGTAGACAAGGTTTGCGCGACCAATCGTATATATCCCCGCAATGCCATTTCTACTACCCGCATATTTCTACACGCGTCAGTCGGAAGTGATCGAATATTTCGAGTAGTGCGTTTTGCCTTTTCGCTGCTAGCCTCTATCCACATTCACTCGTGTCTTCATGTACGCCGTCGATTCGACTGACCTTCGACTTACGCCCCCGCCACCCGCAACATAGATGCTTTGCCAGAATCGCCGCCCTGTTTTTCAGCATCCTCGAATTCTTATCAGATGGGGGCGCTAGCTATAGTATAGCTATAGTATAGATGTTCATCTCTGACCTGGTTGATTGGTCTACTGGGATCTTTTGGGTAAGATGACAGAAGTTGGCGGCCAGCCAGCTGCTGGTCTAAGGAGTTAGCTCGTCAGGAAGGAAAACCGAGCGCGGTACGAGACGTGGAAATTGAAGAAAAGGGAATGGATGCTCAAATCGAAGCAACAATTGGCAATGGCAGGCGAAGTAGAAAACAGAACGAAAGAAATGTAGGCGCTCAGAGCAGAAAAGGCTCGAGGATAATTCGCGATAACAGACTTCCACCGTTGAGCTTGATGATGGCACAGCGGTGTAGCAGTGGACGCAAGACATCGGCAAAAGAAGGAAAGTCGAATCACTAGGAGTTGAAAAAGAATGAAGCAACGGATGATACAGAAGTGCAAACGCTGCCAGGCGAAGGAGGCAACGTAGATGAGATTTCGTGAGCTATTATACAGATGACGGAAGAAAAAAAATACTGAGATCGAACATCTTCTACACCTACTAACAGCAGGATCTTTTTCTTAATGAGGTAAAGGCTCATGTCAGTTGTGTCTTCCTGGTAACACGGTGTACATTTGGGTATACACATTTATACCGTCTATCAACATTTATCTTTCACGGATTATTTATCTACAACGTTAGAGTACAATACGCGATTGCAAACTGAAAACTCGTGCTTTGGGTCTTTACTTGTTAAGAACAATGAACTGGCCTTCGGAAGACTCAGAAGTGGGCAGGATCACGGAAACTGGCTGTTATTACACTCGTAGCTGTTGAGTCTTTAACACATATGAGTTGTTTTATCGATTTAAAGACCGATTTAAAATATTTTATTTTTATACCGTTTCGCATTGCTACCTAGAAATAATCCCCTTTTGTTTTTTAGTGACTACGCCATAATTGTTTATTTGTGAATAATCAATACGTAATGATTTTAGGGCTGAACAGTATTTCGCATAAGGATATTTGTTATCAAGCATGGATTGACACTTTACCCCATCTTAATAGTAAATTAGGTTAGCCCACTTCACCAAATATTGCACGCGTTAAAGCACATGTTAACATATTATTATTATTATTATTGCTATAACTTATTAGCAGCAATAATTTGCAATAATGTAAACCTTGCCCCGCAAAAAATCGGAGTGGTTCCGAGGGTGATAAAAAATCTACGAATGCCCCCAGCGAGGCCTCTTCCGCCGGTAAGCACAACCCGATAAACCTATGCTTCACGTTCTGCTTTACTGCTCAGGTTCCAGCCATCTGATAGATGATGAAGCAGGGATTTTTGTTGCTTTTACTAAAGCTATGGCGAAAAAGGCCGATGCAATAAATGACATATTACCAAGGCAAATGTGTTTTTTCTCAACGACATCGTCCGTTAACCACGACAGCTGTCAGGTCGTTAGATAGCCCAATAGTGCGCTAAATTAAATTCGATTATATTTCCCCACAGTAAACCAATGCAATACATAATATGATTTGCTGTTTTCTTAAGCTGCTGTTTGTACTCGCCCTAATAAACACAATCGTAGTCGTAGATTAGTGTATGTGATCTACATTGATCAAAGGCACTGTTCCTATTCTCGGGCGTCATCAGGAGACGCATCGTTCGACGATCTTTGTGTATTGTTATGAAACGGCGGGAAAGTTGGAGTTATTAACTTCCACTAGGCATATATCGATCATATCTTCCAGCAAGAACAACATAGGAAAGCATTTTATAAATAACGTAAATAGACTAGGTATGAGGAATCTAACTAAAACTTAATAATGATAATTAACCAGACGTCGAATAGATCTGAACCTCGATGCGGATAGAGAATACCCTACATAGACGTATACCCAATAGCAACAAGATGCATGAACGCTGCTAAAGCCGGTGTCCTGGTATAGGGTAAGTGACGGTGAAGAGCTTTAATTCATTTCCGTACGGTATACGTGTTGTTTACGTAATTACATGGATAACAAGACAATAGATGATTTATGAGCTGTGGCAAAACGCGACTATGCAGGCTATAAAATAATCTGACAATATGTTGAGCCCTCAAACATTGAAATTCGTTTTTCTCAGTTATCTAAGAGGATATAACACGTTTAAAAGGTAACGCTACATAATACTAAAATACTTATGGGCTTCTATATCGCTCTGCCTCATATTAGCGATTATTGAGCTAAATATTTGGTGGTACCAGGCACCTGTCGAGCTTTTCCATGGCCTTTATACTCATACTCACATATAGTTTAGGCATCTTTAGCACGTATACACGCAAACTTTGACATTAAATTGGACCCACGCTCTCACCCGCTCTATTCTAAGCTGTCGTGCCGTTCCGTTGTTGCTCTAGCCATAATGAAGAACCCACTAAACAACAATTTCAGGCCACCAAAAATTTAACAGGGATAGTGGCGACGATGATGTCAACGAGACAAGCGGCGCTGCCGTTAAAGGCCGGCCGGCAATACCTTTTGTGTCCTGAAGCAATCATTCCATTGCATTGTTGTCTACGAGTTGCGTTTCACCTGTCCGCACAATGCCCCGTGTTCTCGTCATGTATGTGACCAGGTTTGTTTCCTTTTTTTTTTGCTGACACAGTCACTTCTCAGTATTGTCGTTTTCTCACTCAAAAGAATTTTCGCTCGAATTAACCGCCCTCTCGCTAACAGAATCGCTGCCCCGTGGGAACCGGTGCCGCCAGACTTACCAACCATAAACCTTGCCTTATGGGTGGCTGCCTGCTTGCCTGCCTGGCTGCTTTGCTTGTCCGACGAACATACGGCTGTCAATTTAAATTTTCCGTTGCTATCCTCTTCCCTTAAAGGTGCAGCAGCGCAGCTGTGATTTGACAGGAGACAGGTGGCACCCCCATCGTAAAGCCCCTTCCTCCAGCAGCCGATCCTTTGTCTTCCTCTCTCTTCGTTTTCATCGTGGCGTGTTCAGTTTTTTCCTATCCAACCAGAGCTCGTACACGTCCCCTGCTTTCCGAGCTCTGGTTGCTCTCATAGCACTACGTACATCAGATCTACTTCGGGGGCGTCACCCCATGGCACCCCCGTATCGGCTGGACTCGGCCCAAGCTAGTGCGCCCGACATTGTCTTCCATACGGTTCCCAGCTGGAAAAAATCTAATTCTGACGATGGCACACTGGAGTGGCTGCTGCAGTAGTGGAAAAAGAACGCGAAAACCAACCAACGTTTGCGTGCGTGCGACCAACGACGAAATAACGGGTGAAATGGATAGCGGACTGATGGCAGGAGGGGCAACAACAGTATCAGTGCACGTACAGGAGTCCTGCGAGAAAAGGTGCCCAGTATGATTGTATATTAGGACGGCTTGACTGACGGACAGCTTCCGCTTCCATTGTGCTGGCAAAGTGCAAAGGCACATTGGCAAACTATTTTATATACAGAAATGAGTCACTATGTGATAATGATATTATCATTACCAAATAGCTCTATAAATATAGACAGTTTGAAATAGAGTGTATTGATTAACAAAATATGAGGGAGGAGTTTAAATCTGCTGGTTTGATCCTGGCCTAGGCAAATGGGGTAGAAGGGTCTAACGATGCGAATATCTACTACGATACAAAAAATGGGTAGAAAGCTTGGTGGATGGTTTAGCCGGAGTGCATATAAT